AAAAGGTTAATTTCACTATTATGAAGGGCCACTGGATTGTATTATGAAGCATATATTGTGCAACGTCTCAAGTAATTGAGTTGTATGATCTTTAGGACTCTAATCGAGAAGTTGTAATGAACTGACATATACTAGTCATATATGCCTATCTTATACACCACGGTGCCATACCACAAACTGAATAACAACCCATTTCCACCCGGCCTCAGTGTTGACAAATAAAGCGCGATGTGGAAGTCACTGAGATGAAATTTGTAAAAATATTCTAACCACAGAAGTTGGTGTTTGGATTTGGTGATATCAATTTAATTGTATTGATAACGAGGGGAAGTAAGGGTATTATCATCAGATTTGTGTGTTAGCTTGGATCCTTCTATTGTGCAAAAACTGAAGTAGGTGACTTTTTAGAGGACTATTTCACGAGCCGTTGACTTAAGGTTTAATTCACCAGACAGTGAGGAATCATCACGAGATTGTCCTATAGTGGCTAGTGACTAAAATAACTTTACAAATCCTTCTTCCTCTCTGGATCCTGGAGATCATTGGTCTGAAATCTGAATTTTCCAACGGCCTTGGGTGGAAACGCCATATCTATTATCCAATTAAAGAACCAGATCTTAGCTACCTTTCCTTTCAATTTCTTGGAAAAACAACCAGCACGTAAAGCCGGTGAGCAAGCCATTCCTGTCAGAGGCTAAAAACCTATGGCAGCATTTGGAAAGAAAGAGGACTATCTTTATCCTCAGAGGTACTCAACCATTTGGGTTCGTTTTAAATACAATATTCACTAACAGATTACACCAAGAATGAATACGATAACTAAACTGGAGTCACATTATATTATACAACTGACTTTAACTCTCTGTAACTGATACTTTTGCCGTTGTCGAGAAATCCACTTCATCTCTGGATATACGCTGGTAACCTAACTCAACTTCATCATTGATGTTACTGTTACATCATTATACGCACGTACCAATTATAAGACTTAGTTCTGCTGTTAATATTTTTTAGGAATCGAGTTCATCGTACAATTGCTCAGCACACTACTAAGAAATATTGAGGGCACAAATGAACAAACTGAACATTTTATTGTTAAGACTTATTTAACTCAACAAAGATGTGGAATCTGTCATACTTGTAGCATATGACAATGCATTCGTGGTACATTTTTGACAGATTGATCTGTGTTCATCATACACTTACATTTTGTTTGCTGATGATAGCTATGCTTATTAGATTTATGTGTACTACGTTGTGTGTTTAATCACTGACGATGCACTACATAATGACTTTACGGAGATTTTTTGTGTAAAGACAATATCGCGGCATCGTCTGGGGATCGTATATATGCCAAAAGGTGTCTTGGAGATCAACAAAGGAAAGTACTTTTATACCCGTTAAATAAGTTCGTGATTATCTAGAATGAGTGGTTCACGTATGAATTAATAAACAAAGATATATGAACTGGACAAGCGAATAAAAACGAACACAATTGTCATGCATTTTATTACATCTTCAGTGGGATGAACGTACGTCTACCTAATGAGTTCCAAATAAGGCAAGACGTATCCTGGATGCCATTAGTATCTAAAATCCAAAACTGTACTGATAACTGTTAATATTGTATAGATAAACATAACGAATCTCCAGACTACATAACAGACTGAATAGCGAAAGCTAAGTGTTCGGCCACTACTTTATGATAAAGTGGTTGCAGATAACTGGAGAAAACCTTCAGCCACATTTCACGCCCGCTCGAACCTAACGACAGTAGACAGAAGTTATATGCCAATCGAAAAGAACAAAAGTTTAGCTGGAATGTTTTCACTTATTATTTTAGAGCTTCAATTAAACCAATGTATAAAAGCACCTATTTTTGATGAGTGGCTGGAAATATTCCAAACCTAGATGGTGATACCTGACACCCGTCAAGGACTGACTAGACAAGATGTAGGATGTCTTGATGAAGTCACTAACTACGGGTCTGATGCATGTTGATAGGTGTGAACTACCTATTCGGGTTTGTAGGATAACAGTTGAGGAGCAACCGCTCAGAATCACTTGGAGTAGCGAAGATAGGTTTACCACTTATTTATCTCTAGTTTGTAATTGTCATTTTTATTCTGAGGATCCTCCTTTCTAAAACTACATTCTCCACGCCCAATAATTCGATATTTCTTTTGACAAATTGATCTCACTAAACTGCGGAAACAAGGGCTGATGATTTATAACAGGTTCACACGTTGCTTACGATTGATTGAACAACACACCCAGAACTCGACAACAAAAGATACCAACCAGTGATTCACCTGCTTTGGGCCGTTGTTCAAAATATTTTTTGTGATTGACCGATATTAATCAACTGCTACTGATTTGTAATTCATGATTCAATGTTAACGGATCTAGTTCCATAGTGGTATAAAGTGATCATTTATCCCTTTATTTGTTAAGTGTATCTTTGTATTTCAATAAGTTTGGAAGAACCATGGTCTGAGGTGAAATACTGTTAATGATAACAACAAACCCGGAAGAAACATACAATTTATTAATATATCCTATAAAATCCTGATATTTATTCGTTCACTATGACAAAAGGTTATAGGAATTTTTATTCAAGGTGTTAGACAAAGTTACTCGCTTTCCTCATTTTTTAGCAGTGCTGGAGACATAATTTTAGAGAGTACTATTACTATGCAACTTATCAGGAATCTTCATACACATAGTTCCCTTTAACATTATGAAAAGAGCAACAACAAAGATCCTATCAGAATATCATGAATTCATTTTATTTCGTGGGTTCTCGTCAGCTGCTTACAACCTATGGTATTTAAAAAGATAATAATTATTATTATCAGGAATCAATCACTCCAAGAGATTGTTTTACTGTTATGTTATATGTAATATTTGCGTCCGGCGAAGACGCTAAAACCTACCGACCGTATTCGCGATAGATTTCTGTCTCGCGAAAGCAAAACATTTATTCAGGATAGGTCTGCACCCCCCGAAGTAACAATCAATGGAGTAGCCAAGCGGGTCGACTGCTTCATATATTTCGGAAATCTCATCAGACCTAGTAAGCCGTTTCCTGGAGAGCTTACTGCACGAACTGAGGAAGTACAGTTACTTTTTACTAGCTTGCGTGGTACCGATCTACGCACTAAAAAACGAGTTTAATGTGTATCTTCAGAATCCTTCTATTTCACCAATTTATACACTCTTGAATGGCACCCTCGACACCTAATCTTTCCTATTACCATTAACACTGTTACTACCTCCACTATTCCGGGATTCCCACTGACAATTTCATCTCACTGAGTTAATGGGTTATGGAAAATTAAAGAGATGTACACTTGTCCCATTTACTGCGATGCACTTTATTAACCGACCTTCACTAGCAACCACCTAATATGACAAAGTTTGAACTAAATCCATATATAATAATTAGGATGTGACTAGATATCATGCATTTGATATTAAAACGGTTTACCACAATTAGATCAGCATATAGATTGAAAAAGAGACTAGTGTCAGGCATACTCCTTACTTATAGGTCTGGCCACACTTTACAATTGCAGTAATAAGGCAAGCTTATTTTGCCAAAAGTAGAGGATACTTGATATACCGGTAAGGATGTGTTTGTAAAACCTGAGGTTGTTTGTCGAAACAATTCTTCTGAAGGAAACCTTGTATTTAGGGATACCTATAGGTTCGCCTTCATTATAACGGGCATCACTACTAAGTATTTCGAAATTATCTGCCTTTTTACATTACGTTAGGAAGAGTTAGAACTAAAGACAAATAATCTGTAAATCTAAGGAGTTTTCACAGTAATTTGCTAAAAGAAGTGTTTTGATAAGATCAAGGTAACTTCAAACATGCTCAACATTTCAACTTTTGGTTAGAATTCTAATTGGCATATTATCATTATCGGAGTAACTGATGACTTAAGTTATTAGTAGGAAGTGCACTGGTACCAAGTTACCGTTATATGGTAAGTTTGATTTTTCTGTCACATAAAATTAGGCCGGTATAACATAGTAATGACATTGTAACATCTCTGGGGAGAGTTAAACACATAGGTTTAGAATCTGAAAGCGAAATTTGTCGACGCATAACGTCTTGAAATAGTATAAAACAGATGTTGTTTGACATACATTATCATGTAAATATCACTGGAGTTTACGCACCATAATTATGAAAAGTAACTACTACACCAAACAAGATGTAATTTACAATAAAGCACACTTACAAAACTGTCTTGACTACCATTTACAATCAATGGATATACATAATGGTATTCACATCATGAATATGATCGACGTCATCTCTAATAAACATTTTTATTATCCAATAATGGGTTGTTTAACTTTTGTCGCTTTTTTTTCTTAGTATGAGACGGAAGGATAGATCCAGCGGATGATTTAAAGCTACAGATTGTCGAGCATACATTATGGACGCAACTTGAGATAAACAGGTCCCCGATGTAACATGTGGACTACTAGTATTTCACCACAGATGCCTTAGAAATATCGCTCGCATCTACTGAGATCACCGGGTAAGTGAATAGTGAGGTTAGACACAGGATTTTAGGGAATGATGGTAAGTCATTTGAGGTTGTGGACCTTCATCAACTGAGACGGTTGGGTCACGTGTTACGTATGCCTAAACACCGATTACCACGACGTGCAATGCTAACCGGTGTTCACGGCGGTCGAAAGAAGGTTAGGGGCGGCCAAACCAAAACGTGGCATCAGTGCTTGAAGCCACTAACTTCTAGCCTGAGCCATGTTGGCAGATGCAGACTACTTGGTTGGGGTCCGTGTGACTATCGTAACCAATGGTTGGAGACTATTGGTGACACGGCTCAGAATCTATCACAATGGCGTCGGTTTATACACTCTTTGTCCCCCCCCTCTTAAACAATGAGATTAAAATCGCTCCATATCTTTCTTTCTACGAACCAATTGATAATAGTAGAAGCAATAATAACCATTGTTATGAACAAATACAACGAATATATATAAAAAAAATTGAGCGAAAAAGGATGATAACGGAAAAGCTACAAGCAAAATATTTTATAAGATGTTGCAAGGCTAAATTTTTTTTTTACAATCAAGTAGTGTTTACACCAAAATCATGAGATAATTGTCATACTATTACAATGTTAACAGCAATAAAAAAATATAAACGCGCAACATGTGAAGGCGAAAAGAAAACACAAATATAATCTGACTTGAGTAAAACAGCTCGACAGTAATTCAGTTGGCGTTTCCTCATGGAATGTTTGATTACACAAGCGAAACAAATAGTTTAATTAACAAATGAATTCTTTTCTACTGACTACACGTATGTCAACCAATTATACGAACTACATGGATTCAAATTGATCAACTCGTTTTTTCGTATTCCCCTCACGTATAGCTCTTAGTGTACGATATTTATCCATACCTTTGCTTACGATGTCCTCATAATGAATGTCGATCGCTTGCATCTTATTTGGATTTCGAACAGAGCTTAAATCTTGTCGTAATAATTTAAGGCGTGTCGCATGGTCCTCATCAGTATCTTGTTTGGACTGACGTAAATCCTCATCAACATTATTGACTGCCTCCAGTTCGCATTCTAAAACACAATCAATAAATTCCATATATACATATACATAGATGCATATAATCATAATGGTACTACTAATTGTCGCAGCAATAGTGGTAGTAGCCATAGGGGCAAACAAATAGATTGAGAGTGGTTCAATGAACTAAATACTGCGTACACAAGTATAAACTAGTATTTGCAGGGATCAGGAGAAAAATAAACCTTAGGTAACGTAAAGGATATGGTACTGTAAATGGCATGATAAAATGTTTAACTATATTTAATTTGGTTGTAATGAAGACTTTGAATGTAAATAATCCATTTGAAATAATTTGTAGGGAGCAGATTATATATATATATATATATATATATATATATATATATATATATATATATATATATATATATATTCCTAGATTTACTGCATTAGCTATTCAGTGTTTAGGCGCATGATTTTGTATTTCTTTGACACGAAAGGTAATATGAGATATGAAGCTGACAAGGAATAGGCGCTCTCTGCAGCTACAAACATGATGATTTAATGTATACACGTCCTGTAAGTTAGAAATTACATAGATGGTTAATAACTTTATTTGTTTGCGGTTTGGTAAAGAAAATCTGATGAGTTTGTTAAATAAATGGTTAGAAAGTTTATGGTATTGCAAAAGCTGAGAAATGTACATCACACAATAACCATTTTGTTCCCAATTAATCACTATGGTTAAGAAAAATATTTAAGTGGTATATCGCTAACCGTCAGATTCTTGTTTCTGTTCACTAAAGTGGTCCATTTCTGCTTCATGCATAGCTCGAACGCGAGCCAGTTCAGCCTCAAACTGACGCTTTTCTTCCTCTCGCTCCTGGAGTAGTTGGTTTTGCTCATTAATTTTGGCATTGATTTCATCACGTTCCTGTGCTATACGCTGACGCTCTTCTATTGACTTAAAGCAGTTGAACCATGGTTTATGAAAAACAAGACAAAAAAAATCGTCGTTTACCATGGATTGTTATTAGTACAGCACCATGATCAAGTATAGCTACCTATAACTGGAATTATCATAGGAAGACTAGAAATGCTATTGACTTGATTTAAAGTGTAGTTCTTAAACTTTAGCTGTAACTAGTGAATTTAGCTGTTGTACGGTCTTCAAAAGAATAGGATTCACACTTAATAATAGCCTCTGCTTACCATGAAAAGTAGGTAATTACCTTTGGTGTGATACCTTTACCTGGAGAGGTTATGGGACTCCGTAAGTTGATTTTCATCAATGAGGAATAGAAAGTCAACTTTAAACTAGGGGGAACTCGTGTAGTTTCGCATTTCAGTTCAAAGATGTCTTTAAGGACAAAGACGAGTAACGTTGATAAAACTTTAAACGAAGTTGGATCTTCTTGATAATACATCTCTAATAATCGCTAACTGGTAAGAGAAAGATACAAATTGGATATTTACTGTCGAATGGGTTTAATTGTTCAACAATTAAACAAGAACGATTGTCATCAAAAACTAAATCAAAAATAAAGGGAAAAACAAAAGTATTTTTAGAATGTTCATCAAATCTTACCAGTCCTAATTTGCGATTTGCTTCTTCTAGATAATACTGTAAGTTTTCTAATTGTTTTCGTGCACTTTTTTCTTCTTCAAGTTGTGCATTCAATTCATTAACTTTACATTCATATTGTTCTAAAACTGTTTGCGTACGTGCGAATGCTTCCTCGTTTTCTTGCATTAAACGTTGCATATCTTGTAGTCGTTTTTCCATTACTTCTCTCGCTTCTTGTTCAGCACGTAGTTTTTCCCTTAATGATATATTAATTAAGTAGAAGTTAATTTGAGTTTGATAAAATATGAATAATCAGACCTGTATAGAAGCAAAAAAGCTATAATTATTCACAAATTACAAACAACCACAAAATTATTGTCCTTACATGTGTCACCACAGTGCACTGCATTGATACATTCAGTTATTGAAATTCGCAGTTAAGAGATGAACAGGCATTTATTAAATTTACAGAAAAAAAACTGGAGTAGGAGAACGTGGAATTATTTAATTTACTTTCGAAACAAAAAGAGGAAAGAATATTTATTGAATGTATATCTGAATTGGGTTTTCTTCGGGTATATCCTAAGAACCTATTTTAGTAAATTGACTATTGTATAAAACAATAAATGAATAGTGATGTTATTTAGTCTGTGAGCACAAGAACGATTTTAATCAAATCCAGTCGAGAAAACCATGAAGCTTATGTTTATGGCAGTAACAGAAAGGTTTTGCCCACTGAATGACAGATGAATACGTAAAGTTGTATAACAGTTTGGGTGTAAACTTACAATTATGGACCAGATAAATAACACTTCGAAATTTAGTAACACAGAAAGTCCTACTCTAAGATTCACATGTATTTTGTTAGTATGTTGTGACGAGAAGGGTGTTCAGTCAATAAAGTGCATCGCAGTAAATGGAACATGTGTACACTTCTTAAAATTTCCATAACCCATTAACTCAGTGAGATGAAATTATCAAGGGAAATCCCGGAATGGTGGAGGTAGTAACAGTGTTAATGGTAATAGAAAAGATTAGGCGCCAAGGATACCATTCCAGAGGGTATAAATTGGTGAAATAAAAGAATTCTGAAGAATATGGTACCTTGGGGTTTAGAAAAAGGCAACGAGTGAACGCACGTGCCCAGTCACTAACACTCCTGAGCCATATCGTTCAAGATCCTTAACTATTGGTTACAGTATTCTAGCGAACCTTAACTAGATAATTTTTTAATATGGATCAGTTCATTTGTCAATGATTATTTAGATTTTTGCTACGCATTGGTTTAGTTACCTTCAGCTTCCTTCTAATTTACTCCTACATCAGATAACAAGAGTCAGTGTAGAGGGTGTTTGTCCAAACCATCTTAATTGAAGATATATCTCATCAATCGATTTGCTACCTCTACCGAGTATCCTGACATTGCTTGGATGTTAGTCCCAAAATATATGGCGATAATTCGAAGATCCCTTGGTTGTAGTGATTATTCGATAAATCACTAAGCGAAGTAACATTAGACAATCCCTCAGAATAGGTGAAATTGACATCTTTTGGGATAAGCAGACGAGTTTCTGGGTATGAGGTCTGGCTAGAAAATATCGGACATCCAAGTGATCGATAAAACATTTTACTGATTTGAAATGTAAATTAAATATCCTGAAATGATATTACTTCGTTATCTATCTGCTCCCAATAGGTAAACGAGTGTTTCCTCACTTCAGTATTCTTTCCAAAAGCGTTAAAAAATCTGTTTCCTAAACGATAACATGTTTAGAACCTTTCTTTTTGCTATGAGGGAATTAAGTTATTTAGAAGGTTACAAGTTTTTTCATAGAAAATTCAGAGCTGCATCTACAGTCAAGGGGCCTTTTATATTTGTGGATAATCAATTACCCACATTTATCTTGTTCCAAGGAGTGATCACAAAATACTAAAATTGGGTGATAAGAAAAAGGAATGACTACTGTGTATGAAAGTAATTCACTCAGGGTTAACAATTACTTAGTAGAACAGAGCTAGTTACCCAGAGGTCTGTAGTCTGAATCCTGCAATGAGTTAGACTTTGCAAATTTTTAGTTACCACCATTGTACACAAAATAGTATATCAATCACCAAAAATGTGTACACAGTTGATTTGATAAGTAATTCAGGAGTTACATTATCATAGTCTGTTCTTGATTGGTACACGGAGCAAAATGTTGACAGGTAATTATCAAAACACATTACGACAATCCAAATCACTTACGGGATCCTCACCACTCTATTTTAAAAATAATTATAAACACAAATCTGATGAGTACTAAACATGGTATAGAACTTAAGATGTTTATTATCTCTAGTAGCTGTATTCTCATGGAAATCAGCTAGGTCAACACAAAGTGATAAATCACACATGCCACACAATCTTGAACTTTTTTATGAAAACACTGTGATTAGGTAAGCAAGCGTGATATCACGATACAATATTGTATATAGGAATACCAGAAGCTACGTCTAAGCGTATCACACGCAGAAATGATATTTTTCGCTTTTATCTAGCCTTTTACTGAAATAGCATAGTAAATCGTAAACCGTGACCAAGTAGATGTGTGCGTTTGGAATTGGTGCACATGTGGTGGTAAAATCTGGTGCATTAACAGGCTTTTAAAACTAGTGTATCTGAATGACTAAACGTCTGCCCATATAGGTGAAAGTTATGCGTTTATACCACTTAATCACAGACGTGGAGCCATATTAGTAATTTAAGTACACTTGGTGAAGTTATACTTTACACTTTTAGCATACCTTCATCAACGTAATATGAGATATAAGAATATTTCTAAATTAATACATATTTCCGTCCACAGTCCAGTTGAAACTGTTTGAGTTCACACTCATTTGACCGGAGTGTAGTAATGGATTTAACAAAAATGGATAACAATCGAATTCTGATTCTTAGTACATAACCTTGTTCACAAAACGTAATAGTAACTTGAGAACTCCATTTTCGATTAAATTTAAGGTTGTGTTTACTTGTTTTTATTTCTAAAACAACAATATATATGGCTGTATATTGGTTGTCAATCCTTAAAAATCAGTACATTAGATATACTACTAATCATGTGGTCTACAAGATCCAGGTGAATGTATGTAGATCCTACCATTAGCTAAAATTGTTTTCAACCGTGAAAATAACATCTCCCAACGATGGCTCACGGTAAGATGATTCTATGATTCATTTAAGTTAAAAGTAAATTTTCGTAAGCCACTTCGATATTCTATGCAATCCACTCCCTTTATCCTATTGTGATGGGAAGTCAATACCGTACAAAGCAAAGGGATTGAAATGATAGTATTAATGATATAGAGAACCAGAGAATTAAATCCGCAAACAACGAACGTGATCAAGAAACAACAAGTATAAAATAATAATAACATCGAAGATCTAGGCTGTTGCCCAAACCCTCCAAAAAATGGATATGGCCATATTACGAGTCCCAATAAAAATAATTGCATTTCTTGATACGATTCAACAGTCAGATTTGGTTTGGTTGTCACTAAATCCTTTAGTCAAATGTACCTGTTTTGCAATCATAAAGTAATAAAGGACTAACTGCCGAGTAGTGAAGTTGGCCATAATAAGGTAGAACACTAGCACCATACATAAAATTATTCGAGAGAACTTAAGCAAGGATTGAATAGAGTTTGTTAGTCACTAATTGACTGAAGCTGATCACATTCAATATAAGTAAATTGGTAAAAAATGTTTGACTGTTTTATTCTTTATGGTCAGATCAATGTCGCAAATTATTGTAAAGAAACGTTTTGGATTGTATGGAAAACAGACGCGTCCTGGGTATTTATTTATTATTCGTGATGGTTCACAGTATTTCATTGACAATATCAGAACTGATATTTGACCAGGCTTTTTGGAATATGTGCATACCAAGCAAATGCCTCCATTTTACCCTTTTTGTAATCGTTCAGGGTAAACAATCTCCATAACATAATATTGGCTGCAAAAGCAAGCCCCCATGAAGCTCATAACAATTATGGTAAAAATGTTATGTGCATTTATGTTATACCAAGATATTAGTAAATAAAATTCATCAAGAGGAAGGTAATAACAATGAGGAAATAATCCTCATATAAACTTTCTTGTAACTGAATCAATACACTGTAATGTATGCTGACGACAATTTGTAAAGGTGAAGTATAAACCGTTGTGTCTTTAAGCTCGGCTAATTATCACGTGACTTACTCGACAATCGGAATATGACTTATACAATCTTAGCCCTGTGCCAAACTAATGAAATATAGACCTGTATGAGCAGTCTAGAGTCCCGGTTGGTCCTTTTCTTCGCACTGACAGTTGACGCAAAAAAGCCAATAACAGCTTCCACTATATCTATCATATATTTCAAACATATTAGGTTTATATACAAACCAAACAGACCACATCACACCATAAAATAGAAAATAACATTTATACAAGATCATGCCAAAGTGACTGCGATTGTGGGAGACTGTGATTAATAAACTGGACACAACTCAAGAAAAGTAAATTATATCAAATAGTCTATAGGTCAAAATAAAGCTTATGATAAGAGGACTATGATTATACCTAATCTAGTTACCTAATAAATATACAACATGAATATACGTGTAATATTAGTCCATAAATGAATCCCAACAGTTACTTTTGAATATTCTCGTCGGGATATAACACACAATAGATTATTAGATATTTATTAAAATACACTCACCTTTCAGCATCACGTATAGTCTGTCGCTCCTTAGCTTTTACTTTCATTTGTTGAACTTCAATCGAATCGGGTTGACGTCGAATAGCATATAATTTATGGTTGCCTGTAGATAGGTTTAGAATAAGTTTAGATGTATGAGTACTATCCGTGTAGAATACGAGAACCTAAAATTAGACAAGAGACAATGAAGAGCAACTAGTGATGTCAGCATGACAATCTGTAAAACGTACAATGCCAAAAAAGCAACATTGGCACACTGGGTTAACAAAAAAAGCTAATAAACCCAAAAGAAATTGAATCACTAATTCAAAAAACAAACACGGAATAATCTATTTTTACCATATCACTACATATAAAGACAACAAAACGATTGATGTTTTTACTACAGGAAAACAATGACCAGTAAACTGAGCATAACAACACATTTTATTGCTTCAAAACATAATGCTGCTTTTTATTTTCAGCTTCTTACATAACAAAATAAGCAAAGCAGAGTAATATTTCAAACATAAGATGGTGACAACACAAATACCAATATGATCACTAAGAAACATTTAGCTGAAAACTAAATACATTCACATTAACCACAAACACTAACCAGTGATTTTGATGTAGTAAGTCCACTTACTGAAAGTTATAACTCCTATCATAAAAACTAACCAAACAGTATCAAGGAACTAATTGACTTGAGAAACAAAAATCACAATAATTCAATAAAATCAAATAGAAAATCAAGAGACCTGTCGTTTCTTTTTGTTATTGTGGATATATGACGGAATTCTAATTGAAAGGAGATTTCGAGCTGTTTGTCAGGTGTATTTTGTATAATTCAAAATAGTATTTCGGGTTCATATCGAAACATCCGAAATTGTTACATGTTCATTCAGTAAGAAATGTATATCTAGAGACTAGAGGTCACTTTACGAAACTCAAAATCAGTGAATTTTATCTTAAAATAAAGCCAACCGACTTTGATCCCGTCTAGCGCACGTCGATTTATAAACCTGACGAAATTATTCTGTAAGTACCTACTTATAACTAACCGAATAAAGAAAGGAAACAGATTTCTGTCACTTACCTTCCCAGAAGCTTCAACAGGCTTGACGAAAAATTTGTTGCGAGAATAGGATAACTTTTGTATCTCATTCCATGGAAAGGTAACCTTTGGTGCTAATCTGTGAAGTTCGAAGAAGAAAACGTTTAATTGAGACGTTACGCAAGTCATGAAGTGGACTGACGTCTTTTTTATCCAACAATTTAAAGTATTGTGTAAAATTGTATAGCGAAATTAAGTATCGTTCATATATATTGGAACAATATTTCGTTAAATCTGTTTTTTTGTTGAAAAAATTAGCATTGAATGTCTTGATTAACGAGTACTTTATAAAGTATTAAAAACGGAATTCACTAAATTGATAGTTTCTTATCAAAAATGTACCGTGTTATCAAAAAACACTGACTTATCGTATTTTTGTAGTCAAGCGCAAACCGTAAACGAGATAAATCTACACAATATGGTTGGGTGATTTGCATAAACTTTACCGATTTGGAAGTTTTCGTCAATAATCGGTGAGATTAGAAGTCAGAGAATTAAAGAGATGGAATTAAGCTCTAACGCCATCCTATAGAGTAAGTCGGTAACCCCGATCAGGATTGAAACTACTCGCAACCGTAGCTGATACCTTGGGACGGCGACTGGGTTTCTTTGTGACAAACCAATCAAGTTACACTAATCGTAACACTTGTCCGTTTAGATACGTGCCATGCCAGGCAGGTCGACCGAAGTGACAAAACTACAAGTAAAAACTCCATATCAACTGACGAAGTCGTATTTTCGAATACATAAGGTTCTAACAGCTGTAAAGTGTACCTCTCGAAAATCCATGATCTTTGGAAATGCTGAATCTTTATGACGTAAAGTAATAAGGGTAGACTTTGAAAATGAAGCCTCACCTTGTCCAGTAAACCCCAACACGACACAGGATAATCATTGACTCTGCAAACCGATATCTCACGATGCGGTAGAAGTCCACTTTAGCCGGATGCATTAGAAGAGCCAAGGTTGAAGGCTCACGTGCGGTCTTACCACCTTTATTTACTACATTCTACTTTAACATAACGAGTTGCATCGTGGTTTTATCGCAAGCTAAGGATCATTGGATATCCATGACTGAACACCATAAACATATTATTCATGTTCTGCTTTTGCATAGTCGTAAATATAAATTACCCAAGTTAAACACTTTCCACCGTAAAGTTATTTTACTATGAACGGAAATTTGGACACTGAAAGTACAACTGGAACTATGGTCAGGCTATCTCTAATACATGTGAAATATATCGTGTTTATAAATGTGACTATCATTAACTCAAAACAAAACTTGGCGGAATCCGTTCGTACATGTGTTTAATTAGCTTTCCTTCAAGCTCCAACCCTAACTTACTATGAAGTATTATTCAGCAAATAAAACTATCCTTATTTATGCTGCAAGCCCTATGTGATATAGCGTAATCAAGATTAAAGGATGTTTGTTTCGAAAGACTGATTGTTATGAATTCGAAAAACAGGAGGCAATGGGTAGAACTGTTATTATAAACTCATTAGCAGGTAAAGGTACGTAGTTTGGAGTCACACCTCAGGTGTGAGAGCTAGTGATACTAACCGGTTGATCAGGCTGAAGTGAAATAGGGTTTAAACATGCGACTTAGTGGCTGAAAACAAGAGAAATATTGGAAATTGTCATGTACTATGAAGTTGGGAAGCCTATTGAAAACAAAAAACTCACTGGTTGTCATATTCATAAATATTCAAACCTAAAGCATCAATACCAAGCCACAAGTCCGTCTTTTTTTCATTTTTTATTTTAAAAAATGTAACTCCAAACATTTCTAGATCTTGGGCAATTCTTATGTATTCTTTTACTGCGTCGTCCTTGGACATATTTTTATGCGAAGACACACAATTCATCACTTTGGCCTCCCATTCTTCATCAGTTAGATTATATTGTTCACGTACACTATAATAAATGTAGACAAAAAAGCATATCAAGTCGATTGGTGTGGGGGGAAACTGAGATCCAGTTTAACATACATAAGTTTAAAGAGCAATCAATTGTAATTACATCTCAGTCCTACAGGAGGTTAGTCACGGCTCGGATAGCTCAGTGGTAACGTCTCTGACTGTGAAGCTGGGTGACACGAGATCGAATCCGCCAGGGAGCACCAGTTCCCTCAAGATTACAGGTACACCTTGCTGACGAGTGCCAAATAGCACGAAATCCGGGTCCAGGGTTTCCTGTTGACTACCTCCAACCACCATCTAAACCTCTTCTTCTACCATGGTCTTAATGTATTGAATTTTTTTCTCTTTTTTCATACTCTTGTCCCCTTAGAGCCACCTGCTTCACCTTTCATCTTCCCTTTAAATTTTCTACCCCCAACCGGTTTGTTTTTATTTCCACGATCATTCCGATCACATTTCATCTCTGTTTCAACATTTTAATTTATCATGCTGAGCCATACTTACCCAATGGATACTTCAGCCATTAACTATCAAACGATTATTAAACTTTCCTTGTTTAAAATTTTTTTACCTTTATTTAACCTCACTGTCATCATGTATAACATAAGTTTATTATCAGTATTAGTATCACCCCGTAAAAATAAGTATACATATTTGCGATTGTACAGCTTTGAAAATGAATTCGCCAAAAAGAGAACTCTTCGCTGAACTAATCTTTCATATTTAATGTCATAATGGGTGTATTCCGTTTATTTTTGTAGCATCAAAAGACAAACATCTGAACAATCAAACCAAAAAAACATATATTTTTAAACCACAAGTTATGGATTACGAGGTTAATTATTTTTATGTTTAAACATACTGATTGACGTTTTTCATTAACAAAAGCGGAAACTATTTCCATAGAAGTACAATTTACCCACTCATATGCCAAGAGTTAGAAATACAGTTTCGGTTGACATGAAATCTACATTGTAGTGACGGTTGTGTGATGACAAGCAATCTGCTTACTTTCTTCAACTTAGTCGTAACCAGAGAAAAAAATCTGGCCAATATGTGAATTGAATTAAGCTGATGACAGCGGTGGTAAAACTGGCAAAATAATTATCAAACTGGTAGCAGTAGTATCAGTGAGTAGAATAGAAAATGATTTTGGAAGAAAAGGTGGGTTTACGAAACGCAGTATGGAATACTTTTGAAATTCTAGGGTAATAAAAAGTGAATACATCTGAGTTGTCACAACCTCAACAAATCGTCACGATAACTGCATCTACTAAAATGGATCAAATTGACAATCGAAAACTAACTCATAATAATCTTATCGGGATTAGGGAAACATAAGCCTTTGATAAGATTAATCGTGAGTGCATAGTACTCTTCTGGAATATTGATGCAGACCAAGTCCGATCTAAGATAATACAATTTAGTGTACCAGGGAGGATATTTATGTAAGAATGAGAGTTGAAATCACGTTAAGACACATATACACGGAATATAAGTCTGAAGTGATGGGACGAAGGATTATACAGTATGGGGAAGCATGAGTAAAATCGTGCTAGTTCAGTCGATTTTGAGTTGTCGTTTAATTTCTAGATATCCAACGACGTACCAACCTTTTGACTCGGTTTCACTCATTAATCTATAACTCTAAGGACAAACTTGGCGAGCTTATAACTTATGAGCGTATCAATAAGATTTAATTCAGTTTCGAATTTGTGCGTTAAGCTTATGTAACTATATTGCCAAATAACATCCTAGGGTTATAGTTGATGTCAGATTGTGATTTTAAAAAACTAATTCATGACCCTAACGTTTGAACATAAATCTTAGTTCTGAGTACTTACGCTATACTTCAACCTTTACCTAACCCTAGAAGGTTGGGTTTTTCCGATGTCACTTTGATGTCAATCAGATGTCACCCATAAACTAGTTTTGCCAATACGGATTTAGCTGCACTATTCAAAAATTATCACCTAGCTTACACTGATAATGAGACAAGTAGTGCTAAAGTAGACGAATTCGAGGAAAACCTACTTTGTAGAAAGGTATTTGGAGATATTGAGGGGTTTTCTGACGGTGGATGGACCATTTCCCTCACTGCGAATAAGATATTGATAAGAAGCCAACAAAACAGCAGTTTCTGCAGGACAATAAATTCTCCCACTGACTATGTCGTCTTTAACCTATGGAAATCATTACATTGTTTAGCAAAACAGTAGTTACATCATAGTAAAAATACAAACGAGTTGTTTCATCAATAAGTTCATTCGATGGGTCCTCTGGATAGTATTTCACTTTGACGTCAAAATGCAGTGGGCCATCCTTGATTTTTTGCGTTGTCGTAATCTTCTTATCCGCCTCTGGCCACGTAAGTCTGTTTTTGTGGTCCACACACTGAAGACCAAAATACCACATCTCTCTAATACCAAGAGCTGTGCAAACCTGAGTCTTTAAGATAACTACAAGTAACTTACTTTCGAGACGAGCTGTGCCCCAGAGGCCTTGCGCTTCAATGTGAAGTCCAACTGGGCATCCTTCGTAAGAACAGACACAGGTACCTAGGAAATAAGAATAACTAAAGAAACAAACCAATTTCGGCATAACTCAAGATCACAACCAGTAGCGAATCCGGCGGGTTAATTGTATCGCAACTGTTGAGCATCAAATTAAACAAATCTGAATTTCATTCTAGTAGTGTGCCATATTGAGGATAAAAAATCTCACGCTTTCACTTCAATTCATATTAAAAATCTTCAAGAAAAGCCTTTATAATTCGACCAATTTTTAGTGCTAGCTTTGTTAGGTTACGTAGAAAATCCAGGTAGTTAAAATCATTCCATGTGGTTATCTCAGTCACTCGGCTGCTCCGATTATAAAGGATTTTGTGTTAGATAAGAGTTATTATCTATTGGGCACAAATAATGGCTGTTGTGATAGTAGTGACGTCACCAGGCTGGTTAGCTGGTTGCGACATGATAAATTTAAAAAAATCCGTACACTTAAATGGTCCACATGGTTTTAGATTGTTTTGAGCAAAATAGACAAAGCTTTCACTCGACAGGCGATTGATGTTACCAGGTAGGAACCTTAGTATATTTGACGATAATATAGGAAAAATCATTAGAAAACTATAGCGAGATTCTGTCCTTAGTCCTTAAGTATATATCAAGTTTTCTCTTAAATGGCTCCTAAAAAATCTTGTGATCTAGCTCAGCAGGCAGCCAGTTCCAACGTTTGACTACTCTTACAGAGGTGTGCTTACAGTTCGTTCAGCTGTGTTGTGTCTACGTTTTATGGGTGATACCCCTAAGGTTTGTGTTAGAACTGAAGTTAAGTAGGCATTTTGGAGGATGCTCAGAAGTACTTAAGGCTCTGTAAGTCATTGGAAGGTCAACTCTGAGACATCAATACTTATATGAGCAAAGCTTCAGCGAATCGATGAGCTAATGATAAGGTTTGAATTAAAGTACTTTAACTGATTTAGTGGCTCGCCTTTCGATGGGTTCCATTATGTCCCTATTATTTTTCAATGAGAGAGGAAACACTGTTTCCATACTCTAAATGGAGTTGAATTAAACTGTAAGGGATCAAATGAACAGTTTGCTCGTCGTACTGGTCAAAAATATGCATCAATGTTACCAATGCTAGGTCTGCTCGAAAGGCATTTTTGTAGCAGTCATTGTAATATTTTAGATAAGATGGCACCAATTTGGGGCACCCATCGCCATCCTCCCAACGCTGTAGTCTCATCAGATCGTCCTGATGTGCCAGATAATTATCTTGGCCGCAGACGTTTCTCCAGAGCTCCACCAAAATTGACCTGAAGAGGTCAGTAAATACGCTTTCTCAACCAAGACGTAGAAGCTTATGATGACAGGTATGAGTAGTATGTAACACCGATCGAAAATGGAATGTGTAGTGTGGCGTCGAGTCGCGGTTGACTGTGATCACCACTACAGAAAGACTACATGGCAGTTAACCGATAAGAGCCTCTGTAGGCCAAATATCAGAAGGCAGTTGATGGCTATAGTCGAGATGTATTTGTTAGCGATCTCGTAGTATCGAAAGAATCCCGAGATCGTGCCACGTTACAAATGTGGTTACCGAGCGTAACCGAATTCGTGTAAAGTCACAATCAACGGGAGAATGTATGTATTTCGGTACAGTTAAACAAAGAAGTACAGTAAAATAATCCCTGGCACAATCGGTGATGATAATAATTGTTTCCATTACACCATTCGCGTTCTCTTGACAAAAATAGACCACTACAACTGTCTAAGAGTAGAAGATTGAAATGACGAAAACAGGAAGGCGATCATCCAGCAATCCAAATTAGAACAGATTTAAGGGAATAATCGAGTATGTTAAGGGAAATTGAAGAAAAATGTGACAATAATGTATTTAATGTATGTCTGTCATCTTTACTGAAAGCTATAATTTTGCATGTAAAAGCAAATTGGTTTTTTTCCACTGATTTTTCGTACGCAAATGCGGCATGGATCTATAACAATTATAAGCACGAACGAATGTACCGTATTTGAAATTCAAATTCAAGCATTCACCAAACAAAAAGCAATCGTTCATTCATACAAATACCACAATAATTCTAACGCAGCATCTCGGAGACAGATCCTCCTACTTCTTACTGTAGAACTAGCAAACACATTAGTGGTTAATAACTTTGAGTAATCTATAAAAAAACCATGCAAGTTGGCAGCCACATAGTGTGAGAAGCAGCCATTCGCGGCGAAACACGATGTCAAACTGAATGGGAAAACAAATACATGAAAGATGAGTCTAAATATTAAGTCAGAATGTTTACGTCCTTCAATTCGTAGTACCTCAAACTGCAAGTACCTAAACATTTATTACGATTCGACATTAAAAGGCTGAGGTAGTATTTTGGTAATGAGAAATTGTGAATGAAATAGTTCATGTAAATGATCGTTAAATGCTAGAGATGAGTTTTAATTTAGGTGGACAGTTGTAGCATTTTTGTCGTTTGCGCCAGGTTATTTTGTTGGAAAGATTTAGTCATCATTCTTGATATCAGATCTTACTTCATATCATAGTTTAATTTTTAGATATACGGTCTTTTGTTCCTATTTTTGCTGTTCCAGAATCGCCATTTACTTATTGAATTGAGTTGCGACAATTCGTGGAATATTGCTGACTCTATTTGCATTTTCACGCCGTCATGGTGATATTTACTCATTCCTAACCAGCCTTAGTTGCATTACAAAGTATTTCTACTTTATAATACTGAAGTTTGTCAGCATCTGATGATGACCTAGAGGAACAACAATAATTCGTGTTATTCTACCCAAATATTCTTAATTCTCGCTTCGATGTATAAAACAGAAGAAAAAGAAACAAATCGGAAACAAAGGAGAAGCATTTTCGTTAGGTTAGACAGTGATTTTTGAGGTGGATCTAAATCCACCCCTGTTTATTTCTGAAATCCTGTTTTTTTTAAAGTGTTGTGCTTTATAGTTGGTTTAATTACCGATTCATTGACAAATTTTATTTATCGTTTGTCACTGACTTAAGACTACATTTTTTTATTGAGATCATGAACCAATTGATGTTAGACCACCATTGAAAACCTGGAAACACTGGACAGCCGTTTCGTTTGCTCTAACATCAATCGGTTCATGATCTCAATCAAAAATTAACAATCTTCACAACCCTTTTACTGATAACTACATTTTTTGATGAAACATTATTTGTCTTTACTTGTATTTCGTGCCTATTAATCTCTCAAACGTTATATCAGATTATGTTTTATGAAAGACAGAGTAAATTTTCACACTATAAATGTAAATATACTTAATAATAGTGTAGTGCTGATGTTAACCAAACTAATTAAATTTACCTGGACTTAATAATAATAATGTCACAAGGGGTTTTGTGGAGATTTTAGTAATTTCAGTAGTTGAAATCATAAGTCAGTTGAGGCTAGACCACCATGAAAAACCCGGAAGCAGTGGATGGCCATTTCGTCCTATTGTGGGACGCCTCGGCAACGTGCATCCACGATCCCGCCTCCGCAGGGTTCGAACGCAGGACCTATTAGTCTCTCTCCAGGTGCTTAATCACCAGACCACTGAGCCGGCATCCAACGGTGTTAATGTCTAACTTTGACTAATCCACGAAATTGCGCCACCGTACACCATTTTATTCAGTGAGCTGATATCTCACAAATACCTGGTTGAACTCTACTGATCACGGCTTCTATCTAGAACTCCAGGAAATGCCTCTTGAAGTCAGTCATAGTGAGCAGTTGATTATTATCACAATGATGGACGGTGGCTAAATTTCGTGGATTGGTTAAAGTTAGACATTGACACCGTTGGATGATGGCGCAATGGTCTAGAGGTTGAGCGTTTGCACGCAAGACCGATAGGTCGTGGGTTCGAGTGTCGCGGGCGAGATCGTGGATTTTTACTGCTGAGGAGTCTCATACTGGGACGAAATGGCCTACAGTGCCTCCAGGTTCTCGATGGTGTTCTAGCTTCAATCTACTCATGATTTCAACTATTGAAATAACAATATGTTGAAAGCAGTTAGTCTCTTTGATAAATTTTGATAGGTTAATAAGAAGACGAAGATTATCAGAACTATGTGATATATTAGTGCAATACATTTCAAACAATCTGATTACACACACTTGTTAAGAACGGTGAAGAAGATTTGTAGCTCAGGTGGATGATTTTGGTGGAGTTTAGTTCTCTGAGCTGGATGGTTTGATCGTGGAGCTTTCATCGTTCTTCTGAACGACATCATCAGCACAAACTTCAGATAGAAGTGAAGTGTTTGAATTTCTCCATATGTGTCTCAAAGCTTGTTCTGTGCACCTCGACGTTGATTGGTTCTTATTGACCTTAAATTTGTCGTTGTTTATTTCTTTGTTTTGGTTGTGTCTCCCATTGTTTTGATTTGTGTTCTAATGTTTGTGCATGATTTTTCTGGTTGGTTGATAAATTGGATTGATTTCAATATGCTTGTTGATTGCTGATTGACCTGAGTGCCAGGCTTCTAAAAATTCTCTGGTGTTTTTGGAGTTTCCTTTGTCTAAGATTTCCACATTTTTCCGATCGAATGAGTGTCCGCAGTTGTCCACGTGTATTGATATAAGTGAAGTGATATCATGCCGTTTGACTGCTAATTGATGTTCATGTAGGCGAAGGTGAAGGGGGCGTCCGCTTTGTCCGATGTAGTGTTTTTCGCAGTTGGCACAATTTATTTTGTAGATGATGTTTGATTTGTTTTCCTTTGTTATTTCATCTTTTGGTTTGCATAAGATTGATTGTAGTGATTTTTGTCGGTTTGTGTGCCACACCTATTCCGAAGGTTTTCAGCAGTCTCGTCGCGGTTTTTGATATTCCTTGTATATATGGTAGGGTGATCCTTTTGTTGATTTTTGTGCTTGACTTGAGTTCTAATGCTGCGCGCAGCACTATTTAGAGGTGATTCAAATAGCAACTACAAACATGCTTTACCTTCTATTCAAAAAGATTTGGGAGGAGAAACAAGTGCAGATGGACTGGAAAGAAGGGCACCTCGTCAAGATTCTAAAGAAAGGAGATCTGAGCAAATGTGAGAACTACAGAGGCATTACACTATTGTCAATACCAGGGGAAGTCTTTAACAGAGTGTTGCTGAACTGGATGAAACATGCAGTAGACGCCCAACGTCGAGATCAACAAGCTCGATTCCGTAAGGATCAGTCGTGCACAGACCAAATTGCGACACTACGGATCATCGTCGAACAATCAGTTGAGTGAAACTCGTCACTGTACATCAACTTCATTGATTATGAAAAGGCGTTTGTTAGTGTAGACAGGAGGACATTATGGAAACTTCTTCGACACAACGAAGTTCCTTAGAAGATTGTCAATATTATCCGGAACTCATACGACGGACTACAGTGCAATGTCGTGCATGGAGGACAGCTGACAGATGCATTCCAAGTAAGGACCGGAGTCAGACAAGGCTGTTTACTCTCTCCCTTCCTCTTTCTTCTGGTGGTCGACTGGATTATGAAGATCTCGATATCTGAGGGAAAACACGGCACAAAATGGACAGCTCAGAACCAATTAGACGATTTGGACTTCGCAGATGACCTAGCCCTCCTATCGCATACACATGAACAAATGCAGATGAAGACAGCCAGTGTAACAGCAGTCTCTGCATCAGTAGCCTCAACATACACAAGGGGAAAACCGAGGTCCTCAAATACAACACCGAGAACAGCAATCCAATCACTCTTGATGGCAAAACTCTGGAAGATGTAGAATCCTTCACATACCTGGGAAGCGTCATCGATGAACAAGGAGGTTCAGATGCAGACGTAAAGGCGAGGATTGGCAAAGCAAGGGTCGCATTCCTACAATTGAAGAACACATGGGACTCAAAACAACTTTCAACCAATATCAAAGTGAGAATCTTCAATACCAACGTCAAGGCAGTTCTACTGTATGGAGGTGAAACTTGGAGAACTACAACAACCACAATCAAGGAAGTACAAGTATTTATAAATAGCTGTCTACGCAAGATACTCAACATCCATTGGCCGGATACCATCAGCAACAGCCTTTTGTGGGAGAGAACAAACCAGCTTCCATCTGAAGAGGAAATTAGGAAAAGACGATGGAAGTGGATGGGACATACATTACGCAAATCGTCAAACTGCATCACGAGACAAGCCCCAACTTGTAATCCTGAAGGAAGGCGGAAAAGAGGAAGGCCAAAGAACACATTACGTCGGGGAATAGAAGCAGGTATGAAAAGGATGGATAACAACTGGAAAGGATTGCCAGGGATAGTGTTGGATGGAGAATGCTGGTGAGTGGCCTACGTTCCTTCACGAGGAGTAACAGGCGTAAGTAAGTAAGCAAATAGCCTTTTATTAAAACAAACGCTTAAATCGGTCATTAACAAGACGTATTACTCAGCGATGGTCATTATCAAGGAAAGAACAAGGTTCACGCTTCATCGAAAACCTAAAAGACATGTAAACGATTGCGTCAAATCCCACTGGATTTACCAGTTTAAATGTATGTGGGGCCACACATAAATAGGGATGAGTTATTGTGATCACCAAATTAAGTTGTCAAAGAAAATCAAATGACCCAATAAGAGTAGATGATGAACATCCATCATTCTCTATTGTCAAACATATAGTTGCAACAGGTTACAAGTTTAATCTTAGCTTGGCTTTAATGGTGTTGGACAAATGTGTTAAAGGGCGTATACTAAGGCTTGTTGAAGCTTTGACAATATGAAAAGTCGAACCCCCTTTATGTATTCAAAAATAGTTTGTGCTCACCTTAAACCTACCCTGATAATATAAGTTCATTACTGAGCATGGTGAGTTTTATATCGTTTTCTACGTTATTTCCTCTGTTTCCACTTAATCTCCATATGTCTAGTCAACCTTATATATATATACGTTCTTAACAAGTATGTGTGTGATCAGATTGTTCGAAATGATTTGCGCTAATATACCATCTAGTTCTAATAATCTTCGTCTTCTTATTGATAATGTTTCTTTTTCAAACAAAAAATTTGAATTGTTGTTCGCTATGTTATTATAACACAAACATACAGAAAATAATAATCTTTACTGGGAATTCACATATATTGCTGTGTACCATGATATTTCTTTACATATAATTTTTCGCATTTAGATTAATTAAAAGATATTTTTTTACCAATTTAGTGAAACTGTAATATATTTTAAGAAATACTGTCATCATATGGAAAAAATATAGTGAATAAATCGTCCGATCTAATTGACATCTAAATAAGGGACCCAAAAAATGTGATAACTAAGAATTCCAAAAAGAGTGCAATTTAAGATGAACACAAATGAATGTATTATTATTTGTAATTTGTAATCAGCACGTAATCAAATACAAATGAATCATCAGTTGGTATAAATACAACAACTATATAGAACAAATATAACCTTCTATTATAATTTGCATAAAGGTAAATTATACCTATAATCAAAATAAGTAAAACGATGCATAGCATTGATATTTTGACTGATTCTTAAATATTTCAACTCCTTTTTAAGTACAGTCCTTGTTTCACTTGTTTTTCTTGCTTTACTATTTAAATTGTTGAATTCAATAGCCTCTTCTTCTTCTAATTCATCTAGTACTTTTGAAAACTATAATTTTAAAAAAAAGTCAAGAACTTAACTGAATTAATTTCAATGGGGAAAAAACGAAGGAAAAAGAAACTTACGTTGATCAACTGATGTTTCTTCTTGTCGATTTCATTGAAACTCATTTGTGTATATTTTGTGTACTCATTATCAAGATCAAATTTCAGATTCTTAATGTGTGTTCTGTAAATCAAAAGTCAACTTTTTAAAATACAAATCCAGTAAGTTTCAAAATATTTTATACCGTATAGTAAAGAATTTCAGATATCTTATTTTTATCCCTGAAACCCCTTGATTATTTAGTGATAAACATAAAATTTAAGGTCCTCCACATGGTATAAAATGATATGTACCTGACGGTTTTATTATCAGAAGAGTATCGTTCCTTTCTTTTTCAAAAATACTAAACAGAAGTTATGAGTAGATCTTTCGTATGTTACAGTCCTTAACGTTTTTTGTCAACTAATGATAGTGTTTGGGACATAATAAAATAGTGATATTTTGTGGTAGTTTAAACAAGATTCATCAATTTGTTTCATTTTTCTGGCAATTTCAGAATTATAGTTTAAGTATCAACGTACTAATAATTATTTGGTGGATCTGTTTCAATGAACTAACGATTTTGATTCAATAGGCTGGTATCCTACGATTAGGGTTTTATGATCCTAAAAATTTATAAACAGAATACCTATTAGTAACTGCAAATCACTAGAAAACAGTTATATACATTAGGTAAAAGAGAGGATTCTCCATGATTAGTTTCTTGGTTGTCAACACTGATCATAAAATTAGCTTGAACATTACTGTGTTACGTCTTTTAATAGATAGGAACTCTATTTTATATGAAGATTATGCCCTTGACTAAACGTGAGGAAGTGTTTAGAAATTCCATTTTGAGGTCAATGTCAACCACTGTATAGATTCAGATTGTTCTATTCTCGTTTCAAAAAAGAAAACAAATGATTTGCCAGCTTTCATTCAACGGTTTCACCTGTGTCTAGCAATTTCATTCAAGGGATTAAACCTTTCTTCACAGACTTAAGTGCAAGTAGAGCAACGCTGTCATTACCTTTTACTAAACAATAAAAAATACTGGGTTGGTTAATGAAAATATGCACATATAAATATAATAATTAACGTCTAAAAATATAAATTTGTTAGTACAGAATTCATGTTTCAGTATGTTAATCGGTTATGAGTCTGTAATGTAAGGTACTTTTAGGCATACAACACCCCTAATTTTTTCGACGGTCTAATAAATGCTATCAAAGAATATCTCTCAAGCTGGATTCCATGAATATATTACATGCTGCAGAATAGAGGACATCATTAACCTGTGTTTTTCTTTGTTAAGTCATGATAGTAGATATTCTTCAATAAGAGGAAAACGTATCTACAACGGTTGGCTTGTGTACTAAGGTTCATAAAAGTAGTTGAACAGTAAAATAAACATTAAATTGGCCAGTCGTTACAACCTAGCTTTTAATCAGAGGGCGATTTTGTTTTTATAGAATGATTTTCTGTACAGACTGTCTTTTGACCTGATATCCACTCCAGATATAGTTTTCATTATATCACCAACAATATCTTTAAATTAAAGGTTTACAGATGGTGCTTTTTTTAATATTGTATTTATTCTATGAGGACTACCTTTTTTTTGCATATAACCAATCCATTAAAATGAAAAACAAACTTACAGTAATGAATGTAAATCATTCTCTTTTTCATTTAATTCAATTAGATTTAAATATTGCACAGTTTTTATTTGATTAAATGTATTTATCAATTGTTGCTCATGTATGTGTAATGGATGATTTATGCTGTAAGGATATTTTGTTAATTCATCTTGTTGCTTTGATTCATTAATTTGTTCAACATAATCTTCATTATTTTCATGAGATTCTCTATTAGAATAATGATTAAATATTTGTTGAGTAATTTTACGACTATGTAATCTATGTTGAATGCATTTTATTTCATCTTTATTTTTTGTACTTAATTGTGATTCAATAATTTGTTTTCTATAGTGAAGCCAAGATTGTTCATTTATCCAGTTATTAGAAGTATGATATTGTACTGTTACTATTGAATTTGTACATATTTTCCATATTGGATTATTAGCTTCATTACCGAATACAGTTTTATTGAATTCTTCACATGCATCTTCAATCTGAATAAAAAAAAATATTATAACAAGTTAATTATATAGAAATGCTGTTTTATTTAAACTAATGTAAGTAATTTAGAATTTCTTAGGAAACATCTCTATGTGTGACAGTATGGGAAGTTTAAAATTTAATTTGGTAAATTGGACTAATCCAAATATCGGGTGACCGTTTCATTCATTTAGTATTCTGCTAATTACTGGTGTAACTTTAATACTTTGATGCAAGGAGATGAGTTGTTGAAATTAGCTAATTGCGTGAACGGCAGAAATAAAGAATCAATGGTAATGACTACTAAATTCATAATTCTAAATAACTGACTTAAAAATAATGATGTTTAGGAGATAAGTAGCAGGATTATCTATTATTGACTATTAAATTCACATAATTGTAACTTTTTCACATTGGAATAGAAATCTTGGAAATCATTGTTTTAATTCAGAACATCTTTATCATAAATCAAATCAATAAACAGATTCAATCTGAAAATTGCTCTAAAATACTGGATACAGATAAGTTTAGTATAACTTTTTTTAACAAGGTATCCACACTTTTGCCCCTACTTTTGAATTCAATGTTGTTAACTGAAGTGTCCAAGAGATAATCGATTTTTAACTATTAGTATACAATTTGGACATAAAGGTAAATTACTGTCTCGTTATTTTCAAGTATTGCTTTCTATTATTTTATTTACTCAGTCTAACTAAACATCATGAATTCACCGATTATTCATTACTGGAAATATAATATCACACTATAATAACTGGTAGTAACTAGGCGTCTTTGAATTAGCCGAAAAGAGAACGTGTTATTGAATCAATCTTTCTTATTTAGAAGTTTAATTATCAAGGAAAGATCACCAATTAGGTTCAGTAAATTACCAATGAAAAATATTTTTTTCTATTGATGATTGAAGCGACGTTTCAGATAGTTTCACTTCAACAGTCACAACATAAATATGATAAGACCTACATGATAATGAGTTCGTAACAATTCCATTTTCCATTTACGATATTTCTGTTTATACAAATATTTTCGAATTAAAATCCATCCCCGTGTTGCTTTTAACCACTTTTCAATTTGTTTCAAATGACGTGACTGGATTTCAAGGTCATTTTTCAATTGCTAAATAATTTGTATTAATGAAAATTGAACATTTCACGTACACAGTTTATAAATAGTGAACAATTCAACAAAAATACATTTTTTTTCACATCCTTTTAACTAATCTAGATCTTACTTGTTCGGTTATTTGAATGCAACTACTTAAGGATGTTAATCCTAGTAATACTTTTCAAAGTATTTGTTTGTAAGTATCCAAACCGTTGGTATTACGAATATACTCATAAAAACCTAAAGATCAAGTTTGTTTTGGTTATTTTATAAGCGTTTTAATTGTAACTCGAGAGAGTTTGGAAAGTCAAGAGCATCAATCGTCCAAATGTTCCCTGATCCAGTTTATCCTATTTCCTTATGTTGAAGGAGGCCATTTTTTACAAAATTGAAAAATGTAAGCAAACCTTTTATTCTGATTAACATACTAATTTCATATTAAAACTAGTGTGAACAAAGAAACTGAGGTTTTGTTCCAGTGATGATCAATCTTAATCAGTATTCTGATTTATTGATTCTAATTTAATATTATCATCAATGTTAATCCCTAAATAATTTCTATCTTAGTATTTATTATGATTAAAATTAATGAAGCACAAATGATGTCCAAAATGATTATGGAAGCTTGCAATAAAACCATCGTGTCCAGAGATAGGATCATTAACGTTCTACATAGGATAAAGGTGAGCAATCTACTGATGGAAATTCAGTCTAACTTGACCACCATGTTAATGATAATTTATACTTAAAAGCTCAATTATCTTCACATATATTGGCATTCCTATTGACTTTTGTCTTGAACTGGTATATAATCATGTGATTTTTTAAACTGGTGCTGACTGATTAACGGATTGGTTCAGTATCGATATATTTACTGACAACAGACTGACATGAGTGGGAAGTTTGTAGAAACTGTTCATCATCCATAGAATGTGCTTGGATTATAATTTTAACATCTTTTTAGTAAGGTTCGTATTCAGAGTGGTCTTCAGACATAGTACTGTAATTAAACCATCCAGTTTATAAACTATAGAATCATCATAGATGATGAATATCCCTTTTTTCAAAATGTAACATTGCTTACATTTATCTGTTCATTTAGATCGTTCACATTAGCTCGAAATAGTTGATCGATTTTCTGCATTTGTATTTTATAACTTTCTTTATTTCGAATAAGATTCTGGAAATAAATAAAAGATTTTAACAAGTACGAATCGTGTTATAATGAATAAATCTCATTTCACAAATTATAAATTCAAAAATTAGACAATCGGATTCGTATATTTGTCTGAAAATTTAATGGTTTTCAGCTAAATCTAGTATGATGTCTTGGCTGTGCAATGTTGAGACTTTTAAAACAGTCTACTCTATCCCTTATGGCTTTCCAGTGGTTCATTAACGGATATCATTTCAGGATATAAATTATCTGCAAACTGAGTATATTTCGAAAAGTAGAGTATCTTAATGTTTACCTATGACTTTTGGGTGAATTTGGTAGCTGATTTGTTGCTAATTCATTTCGAAACTTCTGAATATTTTAGCAACATGCATTTTATAACAGTTAGTCCTTTTGATGAGTTTGAATAATGTAATAAGAAGACGAAGATTAACAGAATTATGTAGTGAATTAGCACAATGCATGTCGGACAATCGGATCATACATGCTATTGTTAAGAATATTTATATATGGGAAGTAAATGGTCAACTAGACAAACGGAAGTTGAGAAGAAACAAAGATGATAAAAAAAACCTGAAAAAAAATGCGAAACTCACCATGCTGGATAATAAAAAAATATTACCAGAGTCGTTTTAGGGTAAGAACGAATTGTCACAGAAAAAAATAAAATCAGATAACCTGATAAGAGTAGATGATAAACACCCATCTTTCTCTATTGTTAAATACAGTTGAAACAGATTATAAGAATGATCTTACTTCAGTCTTTGTAGTTTCGTACAAAATTTGTGTTACTTGACTATTTTGAGTCAAAATCGGTGAAATACTATCCAACATAATGATCAACATTTATTGATTTCATTCTGTTTCCTATTGATTGAGATCTTATTTTTTTAAGGAAGCTTTTCTATTGTAGTAATGAATATTTTCTAAACTTTTATAACTAATGATTTCTTGTCCAAGTAGATGGACAAGTTCGAAGTAAAGTTAACATGAAGGGATATACATGACCAAAAATTGAATAAAAATAAATTCAATCCAGTTATGTATAGATTTTACCATTAACTGTAAAAATGTTCCTGTGACAATTTGTAGCATTTAAAAATATCTATTGTGTTAATATTAGACTATTGTATTATAATGAAGTAGATTTATTACTCAGATGAATAATCTTAGTGAACTTGTGTTCTCTGAATTAGATAGTCTTATTTTAATCTCGTTTTGGGGAATATTATCAACTCTTCAAGTTGCATTGGACTTATAAGTTATGCTATAAGCTCTAGATCAGTTCATTCTAATGAACTTGTTTGAACATTCTGTACTATGAAGTAAATTTAGTTTCAAAAAGTTGTTGACAGTTGTATCTTAAAGTATGAGTCTAATAAGATAGAATATTGCATTAAATAGATTAATGCTGTTACTTTATCCATTTACAATTTTTATGATATCTACCGTTTATAGTGATATAGTGTAATATGTTACATTTTAAACAACCAACGTTATAACAGTTTTTTTCAAAGTTGCATTCATGAATTTATTGAAGCCAGACCATCAGTGAAAACCTGTAACTACTGGACGGCCGTTTCGTCCTAGTATGGAACTCCTACTGTGGTGTGTGCTACTGGTGTTGACAGATATATATAGTATGTATCACCAATCGAAAGTGAAACGACTGGAGGCAGAAGGTTAAGAAGATCGAAGACAGAAGAACGAGAACAGAGAATGGTTGATTCGGAAACGAGAGGACAATGAAATCTGAAACGATTAATTGACATTTTTCAAATGCAGTATTTACTACATAGTTCTCAGATTTTACTAACATGTTCTGTAACTTTGTATTTAAATACATTCGATTGTTCCTACTTGTTTGTCGTTCACTACACTACAACTACAGTCTTCACAAATCCCCATACATTGATAAGTGACTGACTAAGGGTTATTGGTAAAGTCATGAAGTTGAACATATTTGCATAGATATACTGTGCTATAACTTAAAAACAAGATAATAATGAACGATATTGTATATATATATATATATATATATATATATATATATATATATATATATATATATATATATATATATATATATATATATATATATATATATATATAGTATAAACTTACTTCTTCGATATTAATTATTGCATTTGTTAAATAGTCTACTTGATTTTGTGGTTCTTTGCGTAAATTTTTGAATTTTTGTAGCAACTTATTTTGATCTGATTCAGTACTCATCGATTCCTAATGGATGAAGTTTTAATGAAAATGTCTAGTATCATTCTTTTGTGGATGTATCGTAAAACATAGTTGTTATATACAGAATATATTAATGGTTTTAATAGAAATCATAATGATAATAATACATGTACTAGTAATAAAATTGTTTATTTGGCTAATAATACGGGGAATTTTAAGCGGTTATTTATTCAACGAGGCAGGGTTTGTTAATAGCTAAGAAACCATTCAAATCTAGGAACAGATGAATAGTTACGTTGGTCTGGACAGATGTTGCTTATGACTCCTTGTCAAAGTCCCTGTCAAAATTTGACGCTAGGAACTTTAGAAATTCTGTTGAGCAAGTCGAACTTGTTTGTTGAACATCATGTGTTTCGCACATCCTCGTGATTGGGATTCTATGAAAGCGTGAGTTCTTTAAATGAATCAGAATTACTTGATCTCAATTCAATTCAGTTAGTTGGCTTTTCAAAACTTTTTTTGATTGGTACTAGGTGTATATAAAGCTTGACTATAGAAAGTTGATTTGTTTTGAGTGAATCATGAATAAAAATATGATTTTAAAGATTTATTTATTTCCTGAAACTATCGGCAATACAGACGAATTAAATAGGTCTAATCAAATCATTAATTTACAGCGAATGACCGTTAATTGTATTTTCTCTCAATTAATTTATGATTAAATTACCTATTTACTAAATCAATTCACTTGGTATTATTTGGCTTGTTTATTCCCATTGAGGTTTAAGACTGCAATTGATCAGTCTGTTATTGTCATATGTGCATAATATGCGTATACCTCGATATTGCCTTAATTCACAAGCTTTTTGTAAGCAATGATGGATAGTGGCTAGCAGTGGAATCCAGGACGTGTGTTTCATCCCATCTGGGACTCGTCAATTGGATGTATCTTCATCTCAGAGTTGATGTTCACTCTGGGACTCGAACCCAGTACCATTCGCTTCAAACGCCATCGCGTTATCTATTTAGCTGCTGAGTCCTGATAGCCACTTGCTTGTGCAATGGGATGAATTTCAATTCACTTGATATTATTTGGGTTCGAGTCCCAGAGTGAACATCAACTCTGAGATGAAGATACATCCAGCTGACGAGTCCCAAATAGGACGTAACGCACGTCCTGGATTCCACTGCTAGCCACTATCCATTATTTACTAACTCATTATATTAAAACATTATTTTGTCATTTCATCATTTTATTTTGGAAATTTCACCATAATTAAATATTTTTTAAAATTCAAGTTGGCAAAAGACCAGATATGACATTTATCAAAATATTACCACTGTAATCGAAAATGCACACATATCACTTGCATATATAGATATCAGCTAATAATTCTAAAATGTTTTCTTAATGGATAATTTTGATAAGTAGTATAAATTATGGTGACGGTGATAATGTGATTCATGATAACTATTTATATTATTCCATTAAGAGAACAATAAGGTAATGAAAGGAGCAGATAAGAAGAAAAAGAATCATAGCTGATTTTAAGTGTTAGAAATGAAGGTGGATTATTGAAAGACAAAATACTTGAAAAGGTTCAATCGGAATAAATTTTATTACCAATTATGTGAATGTATGAAATGAATTATATCAGTCTGAGTATTATTTAATCAACAACTTGACCTTGAACAATAGGATATAAAGTTAATATTATAGGGAGAAACAGTAGGTAACATATCATTTGTTAAATATATACATATATATCTTTATTTCATTCATACTTAACAGAACTGTCACTATAGTGACAAAGGTTTGTTTATTATTGCGGGAAATTCAGTTCAAATAAAAAGTCAATATTTACATATTCCCCCCTCCCATAATATTCAGTAGACTGTAGGAAGATTTGTTTAAATGTTTAATATAAGCATAAATTTCGTAAATCTTGATAGAAAGTCATTTCTAGAAGGAATATTAACAACCAATAAAAACTTGGCTAACATCCAGTGAAATAATCAATTAACTGCAATTGCATATAGTTAATTGTTGTATTTTTCGTGATTTATTTGATTTACGCTACATATTGCTGTTTGTTTGAATGTAACTGTGTATGTAAAGATTATTTATATAAGTTGAAAGTCATCAATAATAAACGTTAATAGCTTGAGCTTAGCAATTAGGTCAGATCCTAATCCAGATTATTAGTTTATAATATATTCTAACCGGCCTCGAATTTTCTTTAACATCCAAGAGACTGATTCGCTTCAGAAACTAATTCACTGATTTATTTTGGTAGACCTATTAAGTAGACTAAACCTTTGAAGATGATCACATCCAGAAATATTTATGCACCATTAACACTTCTATTGATCGCAACATTCAGTTGATTGATTTTGAATTACGGATTTGCTAATTTTAATTAGCTTATCTTAGATTCCAAGCAGTTTCGATTGTATAACAAATACATCCAGTTTTTTTTAACTTTTTTTCTCTCCTTCAGCGCCTAGAGTTCGCTATAAAACAGGACAAAATATATTTTTTGAGAACTTCAGGAATCCAGACCACCCTCTGTTGGTCTAATATTTAATGATATTTGAAAATATAGGATAGAAAAGTCTCAGAGACAAAGTGATCCCAGTTAATTTTACCAAGTAATTGATAATATAATATAAATTATTCCTACTCTTAACTTATGTCGCTGTTAATATTATTTATCAGTCTACAAGCAGTTACAGTGAATAAATAAATAACACTTTGAAATAAGAATTTAATTAGATTTTGATGCATGTACTAAAAAACGTTTGCTTGGATGATAGCGATGTTAATAAAAGTGTAATTGCCAGATATTTTACAAACGAGAGACAAGTCATTTAATCGTAACCAGTGATTTGTGCCCTTTGTATTACTCCGAAATTAATTTGTTCCCAGGAATATATAACTGGATTGCGCACCCTGATATCAAACAACTTATCAGCTTTATTTGGATATGCAACATGAAGTGCAGATAAACCATTGTAAAATGAACCAAGATACCCATTCTTGGATGACAATCTTTTACTGAAGATAGTTTTCACATTTATTGTACAATAATACCACTACTATGTGTTATCATACAGTTCTGTGCATGGAGACATGTTGGAAACTACTCAAAAATAACATCTGGTTGCTTCATTAATAATTTCTAACTCCGGCTTTAATAATGATGTTGAGTATGTCCATTCACCACCTACGTCAAAGGGTGATAATTTCTGACGCAGGAATTTGCTAGAAGTATCTAGAGGGAAACATGGGATTAGTCCATGAAGTCACCATTGACTGAACTTGGCCATGTTAATAGGTGTAGACTGACCCATTTCTGTCCATGTGATCATCGTAACCAACGGTTAGACTTTGACATGGCTCAAAATCGTTTGCAATGGCTTAAGTGCATCCATTATTTATCTCTCCCAAATTCTGAGACTTCGAATTTTCCTTTTTGTTTTAATCTCGTTAATCCAAATATTTTTCCTCGCGTCGTACCTTTGATGCCTACATTTTTTCTATTGCCAGTGAGGAGAGTACATGTTCGCATTTCGGGGCATGTTCTAGAGAACTTGAGACTTAGGGGGTAATTACTTAACACTGCAATAGATCGGCATTTACTTGATACCGGGCACACCATTGACATTCCTCAAGCCTTCAGAATTATCAGCACATAAAAGAACACGGCGTCTCCTCGGTTAGCTGAAACAACAGCGATAAAAACTCAAATCTGAATTATGTATCCAAAAACAGTGGTGAATTTATTTCTACCCTGGCAAATCATTTCTTTATCGTCTTCCCTCACCGAATTCTTATTTTCTGTACATTAAAACCACGCATTCACTCATATATTCCCATCCACTGAACTTATGTAAACTCTCGAAATCCTGTTTGATTATTGCGCAACCCATCCTATCAGTTTTTTTAATTCCATGAATCTTATTGAAACCATTCATAACCTCTAATATTATCATGCAGTTTGTCTTGTGTCTGTCCAAGTGGCAACTTGAACCGATGCACATACGTACCTGGTACTACGTTGTAGCTGATTGATCTGTCTCTGAACCTCACTTAATTAGTGCATCACCCACCCCTTATTTTTTGGATTCCAACACCAAAAGAAGTCCGACCTGTCCCTGAACATATATAAAGTTACTACTGATTACCTTTATCATCCGGATTCTTTTCATTCATCTACGTCAAATGCTTCATACTGTATCTTCAATGTAAACTTTTAGTACATATAAGGTTGTAAGCAGCTGATGAGAAACCACGTAATGTAATGAATTAATATTACTCTGCATCTACGTTTTGTTCTGGCTTTATTTAAATTCAGAAAGTGAACCAACTGCATGAAATCTTCGAGGAGTCACTGCTGATACTACCTTTACTATTCTGGGATTTGGTACGATAATCCCACCTCTCGGACATGATATGGTATGACAACTTGTACATAAGCTTCAGGTTCTACGTTGTGACAGACTTAATAATACTGAACGAGACTGACTATCCTTTTTTTCCCGGCCCACTAAATATAAATAAAAGTTGAAGATTGTCGGGAAATTTTATTTATAGAGACCTATTTTAATACATTTATTTGCATAGCGATTTTATCGAGTCAATCATTAGTTAAGTCATTTGTCCCACTGGATGAAGTTTACACAAAATTCAGATGAATGTCCTGCTGAACGAAAATTATAACGAACTAATTCAAAAGTTAAATTAGTGCGAATCACAACGAATTATTTAACACAATGAAAGTTGCACTGACTTAATACAGAAATCGGCTTGAGAATTACATTTAAATCATTTTATAAACTTAAACTGAATCCCTTTTTAATGAATTGTGCTGGAAACATAACATTCCCCACAAGTAAATAATATTGAGTGTTTATAATTTAGTGAGAACAGATACTTAACCACATGATCTAACACGTCTTATTTTATATGAAATACAAGTAATAATTACAATTTAATACTTAGGGAGAAAAGTTTACAGGAAAGATTTTAAAGGTGA